GCTCAGAATCCTAGCTATTTGCTCAATAAACTGGTAAAATGGACAGCGACGGGTCGCCTCTGATAATCTTAACGTCTTTAATATATCGCAAATTTCGATATCGAGCAATTACAATAGCAATCGCGCGCGCACAATCATGGCGATTATAATTAAATCCAGATCATGCTATTCAGTGGATTACCGCGCGATCGTCATTTAGTTGGGGGATTAATTGAGTGGCCGTTTCCGCCTCTAAATTGTATTCGTACGGGGATACATCACAGGATAGAGTGGATGAACGAAGTAACATTCTACCCGAGTGACCGGTAAACAGGAACTCGAAACTTCTCTTATCGCAGATCCAGCGCGCGGCCTAAAGATTTAAGCCACTTCGGTAGTTTCTTGGCCGGCGACATCCTCAAATTATACGGCGAACGATAAAACGAATCCTCCGCGAACTTCCCTTGAGTCGGGTCTTACGACAGAAGCCTCGAGGGTACCGGGACTACTTCTCCTCGTTTAAATATCGCCCTAATCTCGTTGCCCTCTCCCCCCTCTCTCTCTCTCGCTCTCTTCCCCTCCCTCCTTTCCCTCGCCTTCCGGTTCTCGTGCCTTAATTCTCCGCGAGCGTAAACTTGAGGGCCCGGATGACAAATCGCCGCGACCGCGGATTATCCGCGGACGAAAAACTAATTAAGCCGAAATACCGCGGCGTCGCGCCGACCGAAGCCCCGGGATCGAGCGCGGATTCCGTCGCCCTCCGTGCCGAATATTTTCCGAGGCCGCGGATACTCCCGTCCGTCTCCACGGGTTGCTCGTGCACCAAGTGTACGCGCCAAGTAGGAGGGCTCGCCGACGCCTACCGCCGGGACAAAAACCGAGATCGTTGGGATTCACCCTCTCTCCATTTCACCTATCTAAATAGTTGTCGGAGTCCATAAATCCGGCTGCTTAAAGCTGACTCGTGCTTGCTCGCTTAACCCCTTTTATGCACGACGTATATACCTCGGCAGGATGCCGCACGAAGATTCGAGCTTCTATCGAGCGCGTCGTGATAACTGGAAAGAGGGAGGTGACATTCGTTTAGACGGCATTCTGAAAATTCCCGTTCGCCAAGTTTTAATACCTTAAATCCGCGCTCTTGATTATATCGAATCTGGCTTCAATTCAAAAGTGCCATTGATCCTAATAAGTGATTTCCGTTTCGCGCTCCGACGAGCATTCAGCTATGATATCAAATTATTCTTCACTTCAAAAAATGTCTTGCCAACGCAGGTAGATTTCTAAGCGTTGCGACAAAAATTTATCGCTACTGTTTGAACCTGCAAAGGCCTGCGTCCACGATGCTAGAACTTGGCCCGAGCTTCAGTTAGAAGGTCTTAGATTTTTTTTAATTAAGTGAGAGTTCTTACGTAATTCTTTATTTTTTATTTTCTTCTAAAGCCTAGGTATGTACTCAGTACTTATACGATGATAAACATCAGATAACTTGTGACAAGCTGTAGCGAGTTGTTCGCTATATGATATGCTGCGAGAACTGAATTCCTCAAAAGCGAATGAGATTGAGTCCTCGCACAGCACAGCTTTCTCACAATACGAAACTTTGTTTTTCGCTTCTTCGACGAAACGTCTTTTCTTGTTTCTTCTTCCTCGGCAATTCCTCTTTATGGATCACGTCTAGTATATTTACCAAGATTAAAAACCGCAAATTCCCCATACAGCACAGAAAGTTAAAATAATGTCGCTGAAACGTTGCAATATTGAAGTATAAATGTCTTTTCTACATTGAATCTAGGTTAATGTTTCTATATTGATTCTTTATGTTGCTGCAACGTTAAAACAATCTTGAACAAATTGTTATTTTTTTACACTCCAAAAAATGTATAATAATGTATGTATTTTTGCAACAGTCAGAAATTTTCTGAGCTAAGATTGGATTAGAGGAATAATCCAATTCCAGTACTTCCAACAGTTGTAAAAAACATGTTCTGCTAAACGCGACCAATGTTAACTCAATATAATTTAACAATGTTTTCTGAACGTTGAATTGTAACGTTTACAAGACATTACAATTCAGCGGACATTAGGCGTTTTTGCAATATCTTGTTAACGTTGAATCTAAATTTCGTGACATTGATGCAATATTTCGATGATGTAATGGAACGTTTCTGAGATGTTGATTCAACATTTGTGTGCTCTATGGGTTCTATGGCCGCCCGCCATTATTCTGTGCCACTCCGAAGCACGGGCTATTGCATAGGGACGCAATACCAAATATCTCGGAAGAGATATTTGCTCGGGAGGAGTCTCCAGTTGGACCACCTTACTCTAAGTACATTCTAAGACGGACTTATCGCGTTGGAGATTAAGCTTAAGTCCTCCCGACAAAGTGTCACGTTGTCTCGTCCTTATCGCGGCAATTGACTTTGGCGCGTATCGCGTTGGCCGCGCGTCCGCCGTAAATCGTAGCAAAAAATACTTTACGGCGGCCTCCAAACTACATCTCGAGAGCGACCTGCGCTTGTATCTCTCGCTGAGCCATTTGCATAAATTCCGATTGGATATTTACTGTTCCTTCTGGTTAGGTTGATGAATCAACCTGATGTCGATCTGACATTAATTTTTTACGCGGAATAACATGCTTCGTTTTGCTTCTTACAAGGAATCTTCCATTGCGAGCTTTTATCGCCGAGATTTTCGACTTTCTTGTACATTCTTTACTCGTCTTTCTAATATGAAAATATAAAAAAAGCCAAGTTAGTGGCTTATTGCGTTATCTCAGGGAACGAATCTGGAGAAGCCCAACGAAAATGAGCTCTTGCAAGATGCATCACGTCAAAAGGGGACGGGCCGCACGCGTACTGACTTTGTGATGAAAAGAGAGAGGAAATATAAGAGTGAGTAAGCGAGTAAGTGAGTAAGTAAGAGAGAGAGAGAATTTTCTTCTTTCCACGCCACTAATAGAAGTGTCACGAGCAGAACCAGGTCTTATAATCCGTTCGTGCTAATTTCAAACCGCATCGGAAATACTCGGGAAACACGAAGAGCGATCGGACCACAGTTTTCCCAGATTTGTCGTCTCTCGGAAGCTTTAAACTTTTCGAACCGCTCACGGAACTCGTGGCGTGGAATTCCTAAAAGTACAGATTAGGATGTCCCTCGACTTTTGCCTCGACGTATTGTCGACGCGATTAGTATTATAAATATCACATTTTTATCTATCCTTATCTTTTGTTATAATACATCTGTCGTTTTTAATATACGCCATTGAACGTTTTACGCGAATCGATTTTTCACCTACTAGATAAATACATCAAAATAGATACGGAACAGCCAGAAAAATAATTTGAAGATTTTAAAGAACTGACGCAAGAGTGTGTCTTCTTTATCAAAATTTTCATCAACCATTCGCCAATTATCGATAACGTGTACAAATTACATCATTAAAAAGTTAACTTTACAAAACTATATACATTATAAACGTACACAATCTTGTATCACGATCTGAAGAGCCTTCCCTGTTCTTGGTAACATTACGAGCCCTTAAAGCGATTAAGAACGGTCCGTTAAACGCACTACGATAGAAGGGTTCCGTCGGCTAGAGATAATTAAAAAGGTAATGAGTAAGCGGATATCTGCTCGTAGCGTAAAGGAGTAACGGTACGCCTTAAATACGGTTCGACAGGCGACCGATAAAATAATGACGCGGACGAAAAATCAATCTTCCTCGCAGATAGAGTTTCCTCGATACCGAAGGAAGCTCGTACCGTCGGTGTTAACTTGTATCAGGAGTGCAACAATACTAATAACAACAGAGGCGCGTTGGCACGTATGACGCCAAAGTAAAGTTCCGAAATATTCAAATGTCCAGAACTGTTAGCGCGTCTGTTGTATATACCTTATTATTTTATTTATTATAGAGGAGAGTCCCCGTGTATGAGATACCGACGGAAATCTCTGTAGGCACAAATATAATAAAAAATTTTCAACGTCCAAATTCAATCGCAAATCTTTTTCGCAATAATTACACGATCTAACAATTAATTTTCCACTAGACAGATTTCACTCCAAGGGTAATAAATTCATGGTGGAACCAATAGCTGACGCCTATTAATGTAGTACAATAGAAACTCCGTTATCTCATATTAGGAACCTATCGCATAGTAGACTTTCCTCTATTATTTAAAATAAGCGTTTAAAATACTTTTTACGAATGTAAAAAGGAGAATTAATTTTTCTTAGATTTCTTTAAACCTAATGAGAATAATTATCTGTTTTCTTTTCTAAACTTCAAGTCTGCACACTGTGCCGATACGATGACAATTATTAGATACTTGGTCACGAAATATAGTTCGCTATACGTACAGTATATTACAAGAACTTAATTCCTCAAACGTGAACGAGATTAAGGTACGAGTGAAGTCTTCGTACAAAGCTTTCCCGTAATGAGAAACTTCGTCTTTCACCACTTCCGCGATCCGTATTTTCTTGTTTTTTCTTCTTTAATAACTCTTGCTTGCGGATCATGCCCTGTATGCCGATCGCGAAGATTAAAAACTGACAACTTTTGTCGAATCAGCGCATGATGGTGTTCCGATAAATATTCTTTTAGTTGTCGAAACTTTGTTAATAAAACATTTTTCTCTGTTCATACACAGCAATAAAACGATTTTAAATGTTTCTTTCGAGGGGAAGAAAATCACACGGAAATTTTGATAAATTATTGTTAGACAAAGTAAACAGCAAAATTAAAGCAAAAGAATTAATTATTCAAATTAGTCTAGAAAAAAGAAAGCTATAAATAGATATAACTTTGCAAAAAATAATCATAGAGTCAATTTTCGGAGAAGCATTTTAAAGTCTAGATATTTCATTTTGGATAATGGCAAAAAGATCTTTATGAAAATATTGTTGTCGTGTTTTGGAGATAATAATTGGTTTTACATAATTTCTCAGAACAAATTAGTTTAAAACAACCTGGCAAGACAGGCAGAGTTTTTAGAAATCAAGCATTTTTATAATTTTTTTTTAGATTATTTAATCACACTTAATTACTGCATGTAGGAAAGTGTAAAAGAAAAATATGCAGCATCAATATAGGACGTGTACGTTCGCCAAGAAATTCGCAGAGGTCTGGTTATTTGTTCTCGCTGTTACGCTCGTATGGGAAAATATTTGTCTCTCCATGTGATATAACGGTCCAACTCGATTTCTTTTGCGCTACATGGAAAATATTTTTCAAATCCAGGTTTCCCTACGTGGCACAGAAGAGAAATAAAAGTGTCGCTTATCACCAGTGAGATAAATCTCGTTGTCTATGCTTGATTATTACTTCGCATCGTATAAAGCGTTGCTTGTTTTCGAAACCTAATTCATCTACCGCGTTGTGCGCGTAACTTTTATGTGGTAACAGTGTCGAGTTCTTTATACGTCACTAAATTATACTTACAAATTTTATTTGTGTATTGTTAGATGAATTAAAAATTTTCTTGGCAAGAGCATCGGACTAAGGAATTTTTTATCTGAGAACTTTTTCTTTTATATTTTGTTATTCTTTTAATAATAGACATTGAATAATTAAGCATCGTGTTAAAGTTTTCTGTTTATATTTCTTAAATATTAAGTATAAAATAAAGGTTTGCTATTTATTCTCTGAATGGCAATTTATTATTTTAGTCATTTAAACTATTTTTCATGTTTAGCCTAATCTAACGGAATCCTTCAATTTTTATATCTCTATAATTTTGTGATAGCTTGTGTATATATAGTGTAGCGATATTTTCGTTAAACAGGTGAAAGACACTTGGACATAGCAATGTATAGTATATGTTACACTCTTTCTTTATTTTTATTATTAATTATATGATTATTAGCTTATAGCGATTATGAATTAATGTATTAAACATATCAACAATGTGGCACAAAAATTGTAGGACCATATTATCGCGCACGATCATACAAGAGTGAAAAGATTACAAGATGACGTAATCGGAAATTATTAAATGAGTCTGTCATTGGGACCAGGATCTTCGTGACAATTGTCTACAGTCCTGACCGACTCTTTTGCGGCACCTAAACTTTTGTTCCTCCTGCGTGGCGGCGTGGGGATTTGTCCCAAATCCTCCGCTACGTCTTCCAAATTTTGAAACAAGCTAGCAGCTTTCTCGGACGCTTCTCCCGCAGAGCTCGCGCTATCTTTTATATCACCTACGACGCTTTCGAGAAAAGTTTCCGAGCTTGATTCTAATTCCGACTTAATTGGAACAGAATCCTTGAAATTGGGAGTCGTCGCCTCCTCTAAATTGATCGGCATCTCATTGCGTGGCGATGCCTCGTCATCTTTCAAATCGACGTCCATCATGACTTTCTCTTCCCAGGTGCAGAAAGACACCTTTCTTTTCTTCGGCGTCGACGTCGAGTCTCCGAGGAGCTGTTCTAAAGACAACCGATCTGTCTTGTTCTCAGGCGTACTATCGACTAGAATGTCATCGTTAATTGAACGACATTGTTCCGACACGCTTCTGTCGATCGCGCTGCGTTTCTCCACGGGCACGATTTCCGGCTCGAGAAGCTTCTCCGCGGAAGCCGGTTTGCATTCCTCGCCCGCGTTCTCTCGCTTCATAATTTCGTCGGGCTGATCCTCCTTCTCTAGCATGTCCGAAAGTGCCGCCTCCAGCTCGGTGAGGCTTGGCGTCATCGAGCTGAGATTACTTCCGTCGGCTGCCTCGTCATTTAGAACCTTGAGCAAGGTCGAATGATCGTTATCCAGGATCTGGGCTTTGATCTTTGGCTCCGGACTCGGCGGTGGCGTCTTTACCCGCTGATCCTGGCAATCCTTCTTCAATTTGTTGGTCGCGTCCTTGGCCAGCTTCTCGTCGAAGAAGTCGACGATCTCGTCGACCCCCTCCAGCATCTCCTGCGGCAGCGACTCCTCCGATATCGTTCTGATTAACTTGTTCGTTACGTCGGAATGTGCACGCAACTCCTTGGACTCGTACGGATCGTCGTACGGCTCGCTCTCGTTTGACAAGCTACGGCCGAAGATCAGCCTCGATTGGTCGGATCGATCGGATTCCCGGATGACGGCGCCGTTCCTGCAGGACCCTTCGATCGTATCTGCCAAATGGAACGTCCGCGGTTTAACTAGTCACGTACGCGAATAGTTGGGTACCTTCTACACTCCAGACGATTACCCGATCGACCGGAATAGAATCCAAGAGCGAATAAGTGCACGGGGCGGGAGGGACGCGGAAGTTGCGGTCGGACATATATTCGGTTTACATGGCTGACGATTTCTTGTAAATAGGGAGAAAAACTTTCACTCGTCGTCATTTCTCCCCCGGACTGAGATTCGCAGTGAATCATTTTCCATGGGATTTCGGGACGAGGAGATTGCAATAAAATGTCAAAAAGTTAAGGGAGTTTCAAAGATACTTGGCTAAAAGTTAGAATTAAATTTATACCGCGAAAATTTTCCAACTGCTAAATTAATAATACAAATCATCTTTTCAGCGTTCATTTCAAGTCAATGAACCATAAAATGGAATTTAACATTTAATCGAGATCTCTAAACGTGTTTTATAGTAATTTTGTGATATAATGATTAAATTTTATTCTAACTTTTAGCCGAATGTCTTTGAATATAAAATTCTCTTAACTTCTCGACATTTCATCGTAACCTCCTCGTTCCGAAATTCCGTAGAAAATGATTCAAAACGGATCTCACTCCGGGGAAGAAACGACGACGAGTAAAATTTTTCTTCCTATTTACGAGAAATCGTTACAGAATTGTAGCATTTTCTTAAATGTATGTTCGATTTTTATATCGTTATATTTAATTATTTACCAAAAGCTGAGTGATGAAGATCCTCGTTTAGAAAAAACGGTTCCCTACGAACTGGAGAGGTCACCAGCTCGCAAATCGACGGTACTTGACAGATTTCCGACATCTTGGGAGGATCGAAATACCTTAACGGCCTGAAATAAATTGAGACGATCACATCATATCGAGCCTCTCATTGCGAGACGTAAGTTTGTGCGGGAGATATGCATAAATGATGCTGCATATTTTTCTTCTGCACTTTCCTACATACAGCAATCAAGTGTAATTAAATAATCTAAGGAAATGATAAAAATTCTTTATTTCTAATAAATCTGCCTGTCTTGCCAGGTTGTTTTAAATTAATTTGTTCTGAGAAATCATGTAAAACCAATCATTATCTCCAAAACATCATAACAATATTTTCATAAAAATCTTTTTGCCATTATTCAAAATGGAATATCTAGATTTTTAAATACTTTTCTGATAACTGACTTTATGATTATTTTTGCAAAGTTACATCTATTTGTAGCTTTCTATTTTCTATACCGACTTGAATAATTGATCCTTTTGCTTTAATTTTGCTGTTAACTTTGTCTAAGTTGATTGACTTTGATACCTGTTTTGATCTGGCCAGTCGTCGGGATATTTGGATTCTCTGCCGGAATCATTTACTGGCGATGCCGCCATGCCGAAAGATTCGGGTTTCTGCAACGATGAAATCATATCTTGAGCGCACGAGATTTTCATCTCAATCGCCTCAGCTTCGCCGGGTTCGACATTTCGTGGGTGGTCGACAACGTCTACACCATCGGAAGGTCCACTTTCCGCAGGTTCGTCGTTATGGATTTCAATCCGCGGCGTATTCTATAATCCACGTTTCGATACGAATTAATATGCTTTTATCACTTTGTACGAAAGTACTTGAATCGGTTGTATCGTGTAGCGTAGAAATGATATTAATCCGTGGGGTGAAATGATACTAATCTGCGGGGATGCACAATAAAAACAGAAAAATTAATTATCTCCTACTTAGAGCGACGCAACGTTCCGTAGTGAAGATGAATTCACTGACATTCTAAATCTTAACTAAGGAAATAAAGAAAAGGCACTGGGAGCCTGTTACCGGATGTCTGGTAAAAAATATATTTCAGCAAAGATTAATAATAACTTTCGGTCTTAGAATAAGACCCTCTTCAGTAACATATACACGGTTAAAAGATCGTATCGGTCATAAAAATTTTAAGATGAAATGAATAATATGCGCAATAATTTACATAGAAAGAGTCGACGCAATGTGTAGAATGTATGATTAAAACGAAATAAGAACCCGCCACATTGTTCGTCTGACGCAAAAGGTCAGCTTGATACTTGAACGGGTGCCAGAATACATAATACGAATTCGAAATTGATCAACTAAAGTGTATAATTATATAAATAGATGTAAAATATACATTGGGAAAATTATTTAAATATCACGAACGGTATTACAAGCAAACGCAGTTGCGTTTTCTGTTGCGAGCGGCGCTTATCCGATTGTTTTTCTTCATTTCCTTTTCTTTATTTCCTTAGTTGTTAGAAATCTGGAGCCTGATAAATTGTATTATGTATTTCTATTCTAAACCTTGTTTTTGAAAGCGCGGAGATATGTCTCTTAATGCGATTAGTTTCTTGATCGGAATATCAGCGCTAACGGGCGTCAGCTTAATATCGATTTCAACGCGGCTCGCTTTGTAAATGTACCTCGATAGAGGGACGTTGGTTCGAGTCGCAATTACTGATGTCACTGAGGTCCCAATCCTCCAATTTACTCGGATCGTACTTCATGAATCCGCCGTCGGTGACCTCGTTCTCGCTGGAGCCCAACTTGCCCAGCACCTGATACAGCGACAGGTGCTCGATGCTGCCACGTCGCGGGATGTAGTCTTCCAGACACACGCTGGTTTTCTACAATCGCGAAGTAACGCGAGTGTAATCATCGTCCTAATTGTGTAACTCTCTTTGTTCGCCAACGCGGCGAAACAAATCGAATGAAGAAGTTGATGCAAAGAAATACGAGGAAGATAACATAACTTTATCAAGATATCCGTTTGATGAAATAACAAAATGTTACGTGAAACTTTGTACACATTGTAGCCTCGAGGAAAATTCGCACGACTGTTTAATACGCGCGTGATGAAGATTATACGATAATTTCAAAAAATGTAATTATGTCCAATCGCTACGTACATTTTCTATTTCGTGACAGACACCACGACGTTTCAAAATTTTCACGTTTAACCAACGAAAGAAAATGGAGAATGATTTGTACCGAACCTCGGAAAAGGGTGACAGGAAAGATTCGGCCGGAAGCGAGACAGTACTGCTTCTGACGGGTCTCTTCGGCTTCATTTTCTCTCCCGCGCTTCCCTCGTCGCTCGTCGTGCCTTTCGCAGGATGCCTAGACACGTCCAGCTCATCGTAATTCGGCAAGCTAACGGTGCTGTAATTCTTGGTCCTTGTATTTGCTTCCGGTCTGTCGTCGTCCCTCGAGGCGTCCCTGATCCGCCTCTCGAGCTCCTTCGACTTCCGTCTGTCCTGGCGATTAGGAGCCGAAGAGTCCTTGATCGACTGATTCCGAGCGCATCTCTCGTATTCTTCATTCTCGAGAACTTTCCGGTGATGGTGGCTCGATTCCGAGGTCCTCCAAGTTTTCTTGTCGGCGGGCGTCCTCCTGCCGGAAACCACCTCGCTGGATATTATCCTTCCGGTGCCGTTAACCTACCGAGGGAAGTCATTACTTTCGTTATCGAAGAGAATCTCGTTATTAAATAGAACGAGAAATTCGAGATTAACGCAATTCCCGTTAGTACGCCGCATATGTGTGTCTTTCTCGCTTTTTTATTTTCTCCACGTAAATTGGACGGCCCCGCGCAGAAACAAATTAATCTATCGAGATGTGATTTTAAGTAAATTAAACATTAGGCAACATTTCGCGTTGTAGCGTGTGTAAGTTTCTTTTTAAATTGGTAAATAAAGTAAGTAGATGAATCAAATTCAATAATCAAGTCTCCCATACAGCGCACAGATGGTTGCAGTTACATTGCAGAAACGTTGCAATCTTGCAGAGACATTGCAGGGATATAAAATTGCAAACTTTCGATAGCAATATTGCAGCAATGTTTCAAAAATAATACAAATACTATATTTTTTATTTAAAAAATTTTTCTAATTACGAGAATTTTATAATGTTATTTTCGTTGATACCAATAATGCGCGAATTATTAAGTACTTGATCAGTGCGGTGTTGCTCGCAATCTCCATCTATTGCGAAGCGACATAATCTCCTTAGGTTGCTTCGCAATAGTACAATGTACAACAACAAGAAATTATTCCAAAAATATTGCACTGAACATTGCTATAATGTTGCACTGCAATCTCTCTGAGGGCGGACATTTCAACGTTGCTGCAATGTTGCGCAACGTTGCTGCAATATTGCAATCTTGCAATGTAACATTTCTGCAATCCTCCTGCAATCTTTCTGTGCTGTGTGGGGTAGGTCAAATTGAATAATCTGAATAACATTTGATTATTCTGTGTCATTTGCAGAGCTTAATTTACACAATTTGCAATTTATTTTTAATACGTTAAGATAAATGGGCTCTCGAAACGCCGTTTGCAAAATATTAAAATTGCGCCGTAGCAAAATGACGACGTGACACCGAGCGGCCTAAAGAGCGGTCAATTACGATGAGACTAACTCGCCTTGTGTTCGTAAATCTCCCTCGACCTCCGACCGTCATACTTCGGATCCTCTGTGCCGATCTTTCCCGCGCCCCGCGCCTCGACGTCGCCGTTCTGCTCGTTGCTACTCGTCTTCGGCGATCTGACCGACAAATATAACGGTTCCTCGCTCGTATCGCCGTGTCTCAAATTATTGCCCACGTTCTCGGGAATCTCGTCCGGTTTCGGCGGCAAGGGTCTGCTCCGGTTCCTTTTTTTTCGCCTCGGAGGTGGCACAGGGATGACGTCCTTCAGATTGGAACCTGCGGCGAGGATACGTTTATCCACGTAGACGCTCACCGCGCGTGTCTACTCCGCTCCGATTGCGACGACGCGCGTGCAGATTGAATTGACTTTAATGACTTTAATAATGCCCAACAATATCGGTGGCCGTTGCCCCGCGCCATCGTCGCAGCGTTAGCGCGTGGTGTAGCGATAAATTATGCGGGCTTACGGCTCACGCTCGGAACAAGAAACGGAAGAGAGGGCCGGCGCGCGCTGACGGTGAAATTTGCGAGAGCCAGTCCTGCTCCTGTTACGGCTTCATAACCAGGTACTTGAAATTGCGTCCCGTGCGAGAGGCCGGGAGCAGGCAGCAACGTTCGCGCGGGCGACCAGCAATTTTACCGCGACGCATAATTTCTACGTATTCAATCTTCTCGCGCCTGTTAATTCTCTTAACTGCGCTATTTTTCCGCGAGCCGCGTTCATTAAAAATTTTTAATTAGACACCTTTCATCTCTCTTAACGCGTTTCAGATACCGCCGCGCCGTTAATTTCGTTTCGGTCCGGATCGCGCTACTTTCGCGCGACGATCCGCCGATCGCCGTACGGTCCGACGAGAAATTGTGGAGCTTACAGCCGAACGTAGGTGCGCTGGCGAAACGCAGACTGTTGTCGAGGATCACGTTTGTGAGGGTCGAGCTCGCTCTAGGCGGGCTGGGCACCTCGAGATTGACGTCCACCCAGTCGCTAGGATGAAAGGGCCTGTCCACGGAGTCTATGCTTCGTCCCCTCGTGAGCGCCTCCCTCGGTGGTGAACCGGCGTATCCTATTTCGGAGCTGAGCAGAGAAAAGATTAAGTTGAGCCGCTGCTTCCCCATAGCCTGGAATGTAAATGACAGCCGCAGACCAAGTTGATACATGTAATCGATCATCGCGCGAGTACACTGCACTTAAGACCGCGTGGAAGCTTGTCGCGATGCGCGATCCTAACTCCTAGCGATACACACACACGGAGAGAAATTTCTTATAAAACTTCCCCTGAAAATTGTGTAATCGTATTGTACATGTAAGTTTTTTGAAACTTTACTATACATTTTTTACAAGTAAAATGTATGTATATTTTGTATGTACTTTGCTAGTAGAATGTATGGTGTAATTTTCAAAATCTCTCATAAATTTCTTCAAAATGCCATGATTACACGACTTTTCAGGATAAATTTTAAGAAAAGATTTTCTCGGTGTATAGGCGTGAATAATTAAGAAGAAATACACACATATCGGAGCTTAATTATGCCATAAGATATTCGACAACTAACATAATTGCGTACACAGTAGTCATCTCTGTTAAGAACCAAAGTAGACTTTTTCAAGAAAAAGTACGCGGAAAGAATTTTCTCTTAAAATTTATCCTGAAAATCATGTACACCCAGAAAAAAATTTATTTAGGTTAAACAAATGAGATACGTGTTTCTTTGAGTCTAATAAATTTTTATTTCTACTGAAACATTTGCTAGATGTGAAGAAATAGATATAAATTTTCTTAGAAATTTCAGTCTTAATCAAATAAAAATTTGGCTGAGATAAAATCATTTCTTTGAAATTAAATAAAAAGTCTAGTGAGGTCAAAATTCAAAGAAAAGTTAAAAAGCTCTCATAAAGTTCTTAAAAATACCCGCGATTATATGATTTTCAGAGTAAATTTTAAAAGAAAATTCTCTCCTTGAAACATTTTAAATAAGCTTCAACAGATTAGAAAAGAATGGTTTTAGAAAACCATGCGGTTTTAAGGATAACCTCAATAATTATACGCTAGATAAGATAACCGCTTCTCCATATAGGGCTTGAAACTGTACTTTTCCTACCGCTGTACAGTTTGTCATAGAAGTAACGTAGAAACTGAATCATTCCGAATCGTTTAGAGACTTATTCGAAATTTAGGCTGTGGCTTCTTGCGAGGCAAAAGTATTGCGCGGAGTAAGAAAAGCGATACGAGATAAATTCGCATTCCTCCGTTAATGTCACGGGCGCGCAAGCAGTCGACTGTTAATTCTGCGCCACTTTCGAAACAATTTGTGTCCATCAAAAATTGCAGCCCGGTGCACCGAAATAATTCGGAATCGCTACGTAGCTTATACGGTTTATCGCAAATGCATTCCGTGTTTCTCCGTGTCCCTTGAGCTATAACTCTTTCGGGACGCGAAACATTACCGGAATTTCTCTCGTACAGTCTCCTGCTCGCGCACGAGAGTGCCTTTCAGCTCCTTACAAAATACCCCCGGTGCACGCGAACGATTTCAAAATATCCACAAAGAAGGAAGAATTCCGTCTCGCCAGAGCGTCTCTTATCAATGATTTACTTACATTGAACTGTCATCAATTTAGGGAGCAACATGACAAAATATTCAATTCTGTCAGTGTACAATCGCTAAATGCGTTATGAGAAAACAATTTTTTTCTCTCTTCAAGAGAAACAAACTGGGAATTAATTATTCAAGCAAAAAGACACTAAATTACGTAAAAATAATATTTAGTATGCTTGTAATTAAAAAAACTTTTCTCTTTACGTATTATACTTTAAAGGGGAAACTGTGCAAGAAATAATAATAAGTCATGTTTACGAGGACAAATAATACGTTTTCTCCTAATATGATCGTTTGGAACAAGATAAAACTGACGGACATAAGAAATAAATTTGGGTTCTATTTTAATATTTAGAAAACGCTATGAATAACCGATTGATCGATATTCTATTCTACACTTAATGGATATCAATATATTGTATGTAGGCGCGATTGCTCGTTCTGTACCAGCGGGGTCGTAACAGCGTGTGACACGTACAGTTTATTTACTATGTTAACCCGCGCACGCGTGTATGTGTGCGTGTGTGTGTGTACGAGCCGGTGTATCGTAATTTATGCCTCCGCGTGCGCGAATAATTTATGCGAAATGATCATCCTCGTTGTTCTTGCGGGCTCAAGTGAATTAAAATTCACACTGTTGGAGCAATTCGTGCCAACGAGCGGATTATTATAAGCATATTCGTTGCGCGCGTGTTTTATCAGAGTAGCTTCATAAAATGTGTGTATTACAGCGCTGTTACCAATACACGTTTTAATCGGCGATTTTTAACGTTCGCATCGCGTCAAGAGATTCGATTCGATGCGATTTATTCCTTCGCGGAGACCCTTCTGGGATTTTTCGCTAATAATTTCGTAGTAATCAACGGGTAAATGTAATTACGTTAAACGCGCCGTTTTTTTTATTGCTTAATTTCACTTGTGCCGGCTTTAATGTGAAAGTAAACAGTACTAGCTACGTCGTTAATTACGGCCTGATGATAAACACTGGTTCAACATCAGGCAGCCTGGTACACTGTGAAGAATATCTAGCCAGTTACGAAACTGCTGTAAAATTACGTAGTAATTTTACAACGCATGCTCGTTTCACTCGTTACACGGGTCGTGTTATTAATACATTTTATCGGCGAAATGAACTTTCGCCATCGGTAACTCGCGCGGAGAGAAATTGACAATTAACATTGTCGCGCTGTGCAATGTAGGTTTGGAAAATAATTTCTATCCAAAAATTATTGTATTATACAACTACCTCATTACCTCTAATTTCTCGAGATGCAACAAAAAAATATTATTTAACAGAAATATTCCAAGCTGAAACGCCGTTAAAACTTCAATTAACGCGTTAATTAATTAAAAGGTTTCTATTTACATTGATAGAAGTTACAATTTATCAATTCTACAAAAAGTAAAGTGTGGAACAAATGTAATTTAAGCTATGTTAGTGTACAAAATTATCTACACTGAAAAAAGTGCTGTTAAATAGAAAAAAAATGAAAAATCAATAACAAATATTTAGACACCAACATCTTGCCTTGGCTCTTACTCCTTTATTCCTTCGTATCTGCGATTTCACATTGGAGCCTTATGAATTTTATTAATTGAAAAAAAATATAGTTACTTGAATTAAACGTTGATGTCACGGGCTGCCACAAATATAAATAATTCACTCAATTTTTTGTATTTGCTATTGATTTTAATTCTAAACATTGAACTAAATATACAGATTAGGACAACAATCTGATGTTTTTCATTCGTTAATACTGATGTTGTTTCAACCAATTAACTTCAATTACACACAATTAACTCACAAATAGATTTAATATTGTTAGTAGTTTTGAAAACAATGTGTAATTTTTTAACGACTTACACTGACTGTTTTTATCTAAAAAACGACGTGTCGGTCCCAAATTTGGACCCTTTTCAAGTAATCTGTTCACACAATAGTTAACCATCTCATATCGTTCGTTTGGCCAATATCGCTATGTTAGTAAAATATTAGTAAAAAAAAAAGATTGCACTCTTTGGTTGAAGAGTGCAAAGCCAATCAAAGTTGCATCGTTAATTGTTAAACACGGGTAAAAGTATTAAAAGATGTGTGTTGGATGAGAGATCAGATTGAACACTGATATATGTTGATACATCACTTTTTTCCGTGTAACATTAAAAGAAATATTACATGAATTACGACGAGCGTTGTATGAAAACCAGTATCTAAAAGCTGCAAGGTGTCTTTGATAGCTCGCCTTTCCTCGATGTGTACTTGTACGAATATACTCGTGTACTACATATACATATAATATTCATGAACCGTAGATCGTGACATGATACGAGAGGAATGCTTGTGTAACCACCTGATATGTTTGACGACAATAAATTAGAAATATTAAACTCGCCATGTGTGAGGTAGCGAGCCAATCATCTGATCGCTACTATCGCGGCGAAGTTATCGATCAATTTAATCGTTCTCCCAGTACACGATTAAGAGAAAAAACCTCGAAGAGAAAGTAGACTCTTTTGGACATGCATAATTGAGCAGTTATAGTCTAGTATAGTAGTATAGTTTTTTTTTAATGTGCATAACAAGCAGGTCACTTGCCGCACGTGCTCATTCAGATTTCTAAGTAGATTACTGATTGTGTGATAAACGTATTGAGATATTGGTTATTCGGTGAATTTCCAAAGTATTACTGTGCATTACGATCGCTGCTGAAATCACTATAAGTTGAAGTCTTTTGTTTTTTTCAAGAAAGAAACGTATAAGTTGAGATTGTGCAAAAGTATGTGCATAGAGGAAAGTCTCCTATAATGAGGCTCCTAATGTGAAACAGTAGAGTTTCTGCTAAATTAATAGGCATCATCTGTTGGTTTCCATCATGAATTTATTGCCCTTGGAGTGAAATCTGTTTAGTGGAAAATTGATTGTTGGACCGTGTAATCGTTGCGCAGAAAGATTTGTCATTGAATTTGGAAGTTGAAAACCTACTATCTCGTATTAGAATCCTATCTCAGAATAGGCGACTTTCCTCTATAAATAAAACTCGTTAAAAATCGCAGGCAAGTTAACATAAGAAAACGTATCTGCTCGCGTAAACGGATTTAAAATTGCAGCTCGCTCCTCTGTCATATTTTTGTAATTGAATGCTTTAATTTGGCTTATTCTTCTTTGGAATTTCTACAACTTATTTTCCTGATTACAACGGCATCAAGTAAATACTGAATGATGTTGGACGCTCTGCCTGCTCTCGCAGATACAACGGCGAGTTTTTAGACTCTCGCACCTGTGAGCGGGTCCAGAGGTGTTCTACTGACCCTAAAAAGGAATCGGTGAAACGAGGCGTAGGATGAGAGCAAGCTAAAGCGGCCGACCCACGCTCGATCATCGCCGTGTAGATTCACTGTCACACGGCCTAAAAGCTGTCTGAATATAGGATAAAGCTGTCACACGGCGTAGATCCTTTTCCACGGTAACGAGGGGACCGCCGTCCTGCCCGCAACGCGCCACACATTTTACACGTAACGTGTCCGGGCTCCAAAAATATTCTCCACTGTCGAAATTCGATTCCCCTCCTCTTGCAATCGACACGTTACGATAATACGAAATTCAGCGGAACCGACTATCCCGTGCATTATCAATAAGTTTCCGCAGATACGTCAGATTCGTAAGGAAATGAGAAAAATTATTCCACACCGTGTCTTTTTCGTTACTCTAAGTATTTGCATTCTGCTAATACTTAAAGTACTCGTATTTTATTATAGACTATTTTAGCCGTATCAAATCCACTGTAGAACGTTTTATGAAAGAAGGACGCGACAAAGGATCAACTGGAAACAAACTTGTTTCTCTATTTGAGAAAGGAAATTCCTTTTTGACGTCGGAACAAATTAATTAAAGTCGCTTATTAAACCGTAATTTATTTTCTCCCTGTTTCAAATTGCAGACTAGTGCGCAAAAATTCAAGGTACAAACAGGACTCGATCTTCTTCTTAAAAAATTGTCGAGTGTTAGAACGTCTGCTTCGAGTTTTCCTAAGATTGACTGATTGTAGCGCTCGCGGGCGCCATATTTAGATTTCAATTACTAGAAGCGAGGCAAAAGTAAAATTGCGTTATCGGGTGCGACGCCATTCGCCTGCCACGACAGTGTGACCATTTAAGGTCGAGCCCGCCACCTCTCTCTCAATTCATTGTAAAGTTAGGTTCACGTTCAACGGTGATGCTTTACGCGCCAGGTCGTTTAGATTTCACTTCGGGGCTATTGCCGTCGCATCAGGAAATTGCGTTCTTCCCCCCCACACGTGCGATACATCGCGATTTATCGCGCGATCGACGGAGGCTCATAACCGCGCGCCTCTGTTGCACGTAAAAGAAAAAGATAGCACCGTTAATTGTGAGATATCTCGCATTGCCTACGCAACATTTCTCTAGTGTTACATAGCCGCTCGTATCGTCGGAGACGTAATTTCCCGCTATATACGCTTCGTAACTCGCGTCCGATGATGTCCAATTGTATCCATGATGTAGCTTTCGTCCCAAGATTGGCGGAAAGTGGACGAGTAACGCGATTACTTGTCCATTAAGCCAATAAGCCATCAAGTCTATTGTCCAAGTCAAATTAGCGGGCCCCCTTTTCATAAATTCTTTTGTAACGTACTTCCTGCGCGCGCGATGACGGCATGTAGCGCGGCGGCATTAATCGCATTAACGGTACAACAGAATTTTTCGTGGACTGCGAGGAAGGGGCAAACCTCGCCGCGTCACTTTCTATCAAAACGCGTATTCTCTCCGGAATTGATATGGCCGCGCGAATTATATTCCCCGGCCGCCTCCGAGCGATTATCTCCGACCTACGTTCTCGCGCAATTAACAGCAACGATGATGCGCGTTCTTGGCAATAACCGTCAGCGTAATTACAGGGCGAGGTGACTCTTCCCTTGGAAAAACTTACTTGAAATGAAATTAAAGTTTTTAAAAGTAATCTTTCAAATCTCAAAGTTCACTTAAAGAAGTTAAAAGTTTACTTATGAAATTTTAGAGTAATTGTTTGGACACTTGGAGTAATTTTTAGATAGCCAAGCCTGTCGAAGTTCCCGCTAGAGGACCGCGCGGCGTAACACTTTCTCGCAAGAAAACCGACCGCGGTATTATAAAATATATCACGTACTTTTCACAATTCTTAAAGTTTTTTTTAATTCTTAAAGTAAGTTTTAAGTTTACCTTAAATAAAAGTTTAAAGTGTCCAAATTTTCTTTTCATATTTCTTATTTTTCTTAAGTAAAATTTTAAGGTTTTCAAAGGTATATTTTCCCAAGCCCTCAGCCATCTTTTTTACCGACACAGTCAAATATAGTTTTTGCCCTTGTTATTCTTTTTATTGGCTTGTATGCACAAAATAATACCAGGATAAGTTGCAGACCGCATAGCAAAACATTTTCATATGTACTTAAAACACTCGGTTCAGAAGTCTAATAAAAAAAATTGGTATTTGATATCTTCAAATTGTGTTAAATTTGAAATTGGCTTTATAAAATTGCAAAATTCTTCCACACGATTAAAGCACACATGAAGACAAAACCAGGGACAGTCGGCTTTATATAAAAAATTAAGAGAAAATAAAAATATTACTTTATAGGAGATTGAGATTAGCTAACCGATTATGTCGGTAAAAAAAGACGGCTGAGGGATCCTCTTAAAAGCGACACTGAAATCCTGTTACACCGTGCCCGATAAAGTTCGTGCGCTTGCCGCTCCCCGCAATTCGTAATCGCGAAATGCGTGAGTAAAGTTTGAAGAAAAAAAAAAGAAGATAGGAAGAAAGAAACAGGCGCGTACCTCGTAACTCTCTGCGTGGCGCCTCCTAAGACCGAGCCTTCCTCCTTTAAACTTGGATAAATCTGCAACAAAAGTAAGCCCGAATATTACACTTGTCGTGCTTATGAAAGTTTAGATAAAGAGAAAAGTACCGTTTTCATCGTCAAATGAATATATACGCCAATTAAGTAACGTAGAACACCGTGAGGAAAATAGAAAGACGTACATAAAATAATCTTAAAACAATGATGCGATTTGATAAATTCACGAATAAATCTAACGAGAATTCGTTACATTACATTTTCATGAAGATTGTACTGAAGAAAGGAAAACACCTATCGCCGTTATTTTCATTATTAATCAGGCAACATTTTGACAATAAGCTGATCCTATAAAATACCCCTTGGGAAAATGTACCTTAGAATACCTTAAAATTTTACTTAAGAAAAATAAGAAATATGAAAAGTAAATTTGAACACTTAAAACTTTTATTTGCGGTAAACTTGAAACTTACTTTAAGAATTGAAAAGAAAACTTTAAGAATTGTAAAAAGTACGTGATATAATCTATAATACCGCGTGCCGTTTTCTTCTTACGAGAAAGTGCTATGCCGCGCGGCCCTCTAGCGGGAACTTCGACGGGGTTGGTTATCTAAAGATTACTCTAAGTGTCCAAAATTGCTTTAAAATTTCTTAAGTAAACTCTTAGACTTGAAAAGTCACTTAAAAAAACTTTAATTTCAATTAAAGTAAATTTTCCTAAGGGAGGATGGGGAAAATTAGCAACGTCGCTTATTCAGATTTTGGATGCATAACTCTTTGATGTAATGATTTATAATATCAATGAAGCACGAAATAATTGCATGCAATTAAGCAAGATGATTCTATCGATTCCATAATACCTGAGTGGCTTGAAGCATGGTAGCGCCATCGAGGATTAATAAGTCATTAACAGCATAATTACTTCGACGCGCCCTTAGATTGGGAGAATGCGAGGGTAATTCTCCAGGCGGGCGTCGAGACGCGAGGTGGATGAAGGATCGTCGATTCGATCGCATGGGGAGCTGATTAAGCTAATTCGCATTACCTGGTTCATCGGCTCGTTTACTCGACCGAAAACCATAGACGCGACTCGTGAATTGTGCCCCGGAAAGCCTTTCCGATAAGTTTGCGACCGCAAAAATTCGATTTTTGCGACTGGCTGATTAAAGATCGCCATCGTAAATCTTGCAGATAAAGTAGCTGCATCGATTTTTTTTCCCTTTCAGCTTACTCTTACAATCTTGAAATCTCGGCGTTCTAAAATATTGGAGGATGACTCTCATAATTCTTTTGAAGCAAATGGAATTCTTCGTTGCATGATATTACTCCGAAGAGACTCGACTTTGAAAAATGGCAATTTCATTAAAATATTGCGCGAAACTTGCTTAGAAGCAAGAGGCGCTTCTCCAAGAAATTTCAAACGAGCGTAATTTTAAAAGAATCTCTCGATGGTATTATACGTGTGCGTTGCAACTTGAAGATTAGAACTGAAATTGAGTGCAATTAGTACCCAATTAACGTTCTCTGTATTCAATTAGCGCTAGCTCGCTAAACGCTCATTCCTCAATAGAATTAGAAACTATTAATGAAATTAAAAGTGTGATAAGCATCAGTAGAATTAGAAACATTCGTTTGTTACACGAGTTACGATCATCTTAGAAACATACAGAATTACACTCCATTTGGAGCACGTTGGCGAGCTCGCCAAGTGATTTGCAAGTAACGATAATAGTTTCGAAACGGGCGCGTTATCTTTCAATTTAGTGGAATGTCCCGGGAAGACGGCACGAGCAATAGCTTAACGGAAACATGACTTGGTCCCTGACACTCTTGTCGAAGGATTACACAATCGGCGGCCATCGTATGCGAATCGCGTTGCATAATACCCTTTTGTATCCTCGCGGGACACGAAAACACGGTAGCGCACGAGAGGTGTAAGTAAGCACCGGCGGCGAGCTCAATATCGTTTTGTCGTCTTTACGCCCGGCCTTCGGCTGCGAGATATCGCAGATGATTTGCCCGAGTGACGTGTCGGGCGTTCACGACACGTGGAACAATTATTTCCTGCGCGTATCAACGCGGTACGTAGACGCTCAACGCCGCAAAGAGGAAAGACAAAAGTGGAATCCTAATCGTAAGAAGAAATCTGTTTTTTTTTTCAAATAGAATCCCACAGAACGATATTTAGCCCCCCCGGTAACTCTCGGAGTTGCTGAAAAAGTGGGTTACGTTATTCCGACACTGGGCGTGGATAGGAAAATGACATTTCGAACGCCAGGCCAATTTGTTCGCGCTGAAGAGGGAAAAAATCGAATGGAATCGACGCATAGCGGGGGAGGTCGTTCGCTTCACGCCGCGATGATTTTGGCAATTCGAACGTGTCGGACGAACTGCCGCAGAACGTCATTTTTCGCCAATTCCCGTTCGTTCGCGACAACGAAGGGCGGAAAGGACGCGCATGCTTTCCCCTTTTTATTTACAGCTGTCGTAACAAGTAAGCTTCCGTTTTCCCGATAAAGAAAACTGAACTTCTTCGAACCACGAGCTTATTAAAAAGAAACGTCGCGAAAAGCTTTCTCCTCACTTTCACCCTCAATTTCACGTCCAGCTCAATCGTACAATTTGTACGCATAATTTGAACTTAATCGTACGCGGTCCATTAGTTACCCCGGAGCCGCAAGGAGGCAAAAGCCTTTTGCAGTTCCACTACGATAAACTCGAGCAACGAATTAAAACTCGGTCCATGACAGGTTAATCGCGAGTAAACGAGTGAGGCGAGGGAGGCAGGGGTGAAAGGCGCGATATAGCTTCGGCGTAATATAGATACGTCCTAAGTGCCGCAAATAATAGGGCGTTAACGAGATTAAACGGGATGAGAAGAGCGTCCTTGCATCGATCCCGCCCAGGCACGTTGAGACGGCAGTGTTACCTTCCACCGTATGTAGGTATATCCCACGTATGCTGAACAGCCCTTTGGAAATCGTACACGTGTCGCGCGGCCGTTCCTCCGGGCGCGGTTTACATTGCAAATTTGTCGGGAAACTTCTCGCGCGCGACACGTCGCCCGGCGAGTCGGTGGGCAAAAGTTATTTCGCCGATTAAGTTACGCCCCGCACTCGGGTCGCCGCTGTCCGGAAGCATTGTTTAAGCGAAGCGTTGTTCGCGAAACGCACTCGCCCGGTCCCCCCCGTGACCGCCACCTGCACCCACAGAAAAACTTTCCGGATCCAATGCTATTACACTTGAATGTATCATAAAATAGGATCGATATATAGCGCCAATTATATTTATTATAGAGAAAGGAATATTTTAATCTCGAGGTGGCTCCTGCATAAACCGACCAAAAGTGAACGAAATTTTAATTTAAGTATATAGTTGTACATTTTATTTGTCAGTACGCGAAATTTCAGATCCGGTCGCCGATAAAATAAAATAAAGAACAAATGTTAAAGTTGTATTTGTTAACATTCCAGTAAACACCAAGTAACAGTTACATAACATCAATATTATAATTTCCTACTCGACAAGATAAATGTAATACAACACCCATGTTATATTATATTTCCATGTTAAGTAGGAAATTATAATATTGATATTATGTAACTATTACTTGGGGTTATGGGCCAATCGCTCGCAGAAGCACTTTGAGGGTTAATATTATTTTATAGAAAAAGAGATATAATATTAAATTTCCGATTTGGAAACGATTTCTCATTAGAATTCGAAACGAAAACTCTTGCGTAACTTTTAACGTCAGAAATCGAATAACGCGCGTGCACGCGAAACAAAGGTGCGAATTTTCCACGAAACAAAGTGAATCTAACGATTTTAGTTTGCGTGTTTAGCGCGTGAGGGGAGATCGCTCTATCGCTTGCAAATGTATTTTGCACGACAGTTGTTTCGGCAAATGTCAATGCGACAAGAAGTTGGGACCTAGCGTGAAATCTGCGCGCATTACGGCACCGGTTGTTACCAAAGTTTTATTATATCTTCGTGACAGTAGGCAATTTTCTGGGTTCCTGCACAAATATCTAATGTAACTTTCACTATCTATTAATAATACAGTAGCGTAGGTCGAACGGCCAACGTGAAGCTGCGATTACGTCGTAGAAACGTGATTGTTTCTTTTTTTTTTCGATCGCAGGGTTATCTAACGAGAAATTATTCAACAAATTCACAATTTTCAAAATTGAATTGCATCCAGTATCACATTCCCTCGGTTTGATTGTAATTTCGCAATGTACCCTTACAGAAATTTAATTACTAGGAACCAAAAATGCACCGAAATAAATAGAGAATCATTGTATATCAGTAATTTCTGTTTAATGATTCAATTACCGAGTTTTGAGTGATTATTTCAGTGCTCTCTTGGTTCCCAATACTACGTTTCTGTAAGGATATAGTACAGTTTATGTAGTATATTTTATATGTAATCTGAAAGCAAACAGTTATTTATAAGACTTGCGTCGAAGATAATATAGCAAGAGATAAAAGTTTGTTATTGCGTAACTTGCTCTGCTGCGTAATGTACAATACAATTATTTGCTATCAATCATTCAAACAACAATCGAAATGTTTCGATCTAAAGACGCCAAATTAACAGTGGCAGCTTTATTTGCATTGACTGATCAACTTGGCGTTTTATGAGAATTAATGTTGCAAACATTTACACACTTCTTCGTCGTAAATTTATATACAAAGATTTATAGCTTTCAGCTGCCAACCTTTAATTAGCCAGCATACTCTGCGGAATCTAATAATAATCTCGTTGAAACCTATGTGTATAAAAATTCATAAATGTTACCGGTGTGTTCGAGCGACAGCAACGTTGTATATCGAGTAACGCGTCTATTTCTAGAAGAGATATGTATATTTTGAGTTCCGATCCATTGTTCCGATCCATTATTCATACGAATTCATAAGAAGCCATAAGAAAAATCTAGTGATATGCAAATACCGTTTGTTTCGCTGACGTATACGAAGAAGCGTCAGTATAGCGTCGCCATATAAATACGGTGCCACATTTTACGTAATCTCCATTCTGCTGCTAGATCGGCACTAGGTACCGCTGCTTCAATCGCATACTTGCGTACTACAGTGTATATCACGCGAACGTAATCGTATTCACACGGTTCCGCGAGCTCTCTCGCATGCATGGTGCACGCACACGTATACAACTCTGTACAAGCATGCATCGCTAAGGACGTTGCGTTTTCCATTTCGACGAGCTCATACATAAGAGCGATATTAGTAACATATCATTAACAATTCAAACCAGGTCAGTTCGTCGAGGCTTCTTCGAGCCGATGTATTTATATCACATCTGACGTAAGTCCAGTTTTCTAAACGTCGGCTAGACAAGTAACTGGTATCGAAAACCAAAGCTGTTAGATTGTTCCTGTTAGACCGAGGGCGAATCTTGCGAGCCTTCAATTTATAAATTTTCTAAACTTGTTAAAGCTTTTCCCACGCGCAGAGAATTTTCTCTTAAAAATTTACCCTGAAAATCGTGTAATCGTGGGACAACGTACTGGCGCTTGGAAGAATTTTAGAAGAGTTTTTGAAATTCTGCCAACGGCACGCGATACCATTTTTTTTTCCACTGGATTGCTTACGAGATTTGCCATATATTTTTAGTAAATTTTACTAGTAATTTACCATGAAAATCATGTGATCGTGGGACAATGTGACATTTTGAACAACTTTGTGAGTTTTTTGAAATTTTACTATACATTCTACTAGTAAAATTTATACTAAGTATAATTATTAGTCAAATGTGTGCGTGTGTATGGTAAAATTTCACAAAACTCTCATAAGATTCTTCGAAGTGCCACGTTGTCCCACGATTACATGATTTTCAGGATCAATTTGAAGAAAAAATTCTCTCCGTGTATTTTTATCATCATTTTTCTCTTCTATACAAATAGCTGAGTTTCAGATTGTATGTATGCACCACCACAGACTTTTATAGAAGCTGTGTGAACCACAGGCTGAAACTCATCGATGCATAGATGGCAATAAAGATTATGAAAATGTGAATCCTGGTAAAACTGAAGTCTAGGCATTAACGAATAAGACTGTACATGAATTAGCACAGCATTTCTTTCTCCAAGTCGTGCCCGCAAGGTAAAAATATCGAGCGCGATAAGGTGGCAAAGACACCGGAAACTAGAGTTGGTCTGACCGGCCCTGGAGAACAGGTCGACAATCATATTTCCGCGATAATCTCAATTTACCCTCGGCAAAGATAATACAGCGAGCTAAAAGTGTATTCGCGATAAAGTTGTATTGCGGCGAATAGTCATCAGTCTAAATTGCCGCGTCGTGTTTAGATAATCCGTGCAAAGCGCAAGGCGTTTCCCAGCTGATACACGGTCTCGAGACCCAGTTCGTCAGTCCTGGCTAAGACGTACACGCGTGTATGCGCCGCAGGAACAACGCAATTGTGCAAATACAGATATCATATCAATTCTACGATTTCACGTCGGGAATACACGACGCGAGTGCGGAATAACGCGGAGCGACACGCGACGAGGTGTACACACGAGTTGGTACACACAGGATAAATAATAGGCGCATTCGCGACTCATAATTTAATCGGGTCTAAAAATACCTCGATGATTCGCGATTCGGCTCCGACGCGGTGCGAGCGAGGTGACTGTTTGTCAATCGGCGATTCAGAGCGTGGGCGTATCAGGAAGAAAAATACGTCAAGGTGTGGTGGAGGCGTACAATTGTCGAACGTGATACAACGGCTGTTACATTAGTATACGCGTGATTTGCATAATTTTTTGGTGCAAAAATAGGAGGCTGCTCCGCGGAAACGTTCGAGTGGCGGGTGGAAAAATATTCGCGGCGGGATAGCACGCTTGCATTTACATGCCGGGCATTTTTCCCCATTTTTTGCCACGAAGGCCGCGGTAATTTTCTAGCGAATCGTTTTTCCGATGTGAATAAAGCAAAAAGCATTAGAGGCGCTCCAAGCGACGACCTCGCGACCCGATTTTTCCCCTTGTACCATTTCTTGCACAAGGTATCCTTGACGCGCGCCGCGTTTTCTCGTTTAACACCGAACTTATCGCGCCGTATCTAATTGGCCGTAACACCACGCGTGAGCAACACACGTCTCTCTCGCGAATGAGATCCACCGATCACCAGCTGCGCCGCTCTAAAGCGATCGCTTTTTAACGCGCCGAAACGTACCGCCCTTGAGTGGAAGCGAAAACATTGTCGGATGTTCAGAATTCTGAAATAAATATGAGCCCGCGTATTGAAACGGCAAAATTGATGAAAGCGATAACGCAATATGAAGAGAGTAAATTATGTAGGAATTTCTATTACAATTGTACAGTGGATTGGTATAGGTGTTTTGTATTATGATTTATCACGACTTATCTGTATTATATTCGTAACTGAAACTTGGACCTGTAATAAAATATTGACGTTTTCAATATTGATATTAACGGTCGCGTCGAATATTCCAAGTGTTTAGGAAAAGCTGCTTGATAAATAGCGAAGCGATTGGACGACAGATACACCTTCCGTTCGTCCACCAGCGAGTTTAGTACGTTGAAATAAAATTGATTACATCTCATCAAGTAGTGTACATTGACACCGAACGTAAAATTCTACGCGCAGAGAAGTTTCTCTCAAAGTTTACACTGAAAACTCGTGCAATTGCGAATATTTTGAAGAACTGTACAAGAGTTTTTGAAATTTTACTATACATTCTACTAGTAAAATGTATACTAGGTATAAATTACTAGCAAACTATATGGTAAAATATCGAAACAATTCTCATAAAATTTTTCGAAATGTCACGTCCCACGATTACATGATTTTCGGGATAAATTTTAAGAAAAACTTCTCCCCGTGTACAATTCACGGTTCATGTATCAATCCCGATTGAAGCCCGCAACTGCGCATCGTCTCTCGCAAGTTGCTCGAAAGATACCGTTCGAATCCGAACTTTTCGCCGCGGAAACGCGCGTGTTAGTCCCTTTATAATATAATTTATCGTTTCTACGCTGTCGCGAGTAAAAGCAGGTAGTCGCTGGTAATTGCGATCGCATCCGCATAGCCGGGATTCCAAATTAGCGTGGCACGCACGCCTAGCACGCGCTCGCAGATTCGTGCAATCCGTGCGCGGCGCGCCTGTGTGCGCGCGTACATACATATACGTTATATAATAACGAGGCCGCGCGCCTCTCCGTATCCGTTTCAAGTGCACGTGGAAACCAGCGGTCTCTTCTCCGCGTATGTGCTCTTTTTATTTTCATACCGTCGCGCGTCTCGTCACTTACACCGGGGACAACCGAACGGCGTAACGATCGTGCAAAATTACATGGCAAACAGATGTTTCTCGTGACGCGCCGCGAATGCGATAGTCATCGCGTAGTCACACAAGTTAGATTATTTGCCGCGGAAGTCGGACCGTTTCCCTCGACTCCACGCCCGAAGCTAAGGAAAAAGGATTTAATTATCTCAACTCCACCTTAACTCTGACTTTAACCATTTGCGGCCTGATAAGAAAAAATATGTTTTTCAAAAAGACAAATATATAAATAGAGTAAATAAGGCCAGTACATTTACGAGCAACTAATCGATTACATTAGATTAAAATAATTACTTATAAAGAGTCATTGGTTCACAGTGTTACAAAGGAGATTACGTATAAAGATAAAAGAAACGCATTATTTTTAATCCTAAATAAATAGTTAAACATAGATAAACTTGTTAAAAATATATAAAATGTAAAATCCTAAATAAATAGTTAAATATAGGTAAAATTAATTAGAAATTAAAGAGGCCGTTTAGGACCGGGCATAGGTGTAAGTAGCCAGTTAAATTAAATTATTAAGTGAATTCATATACCGTATTCTTTCCAACTTATCCTGTGCGCCAGTTACATACTAGTCTTTTAACACAAGTTAATCCCCGTAAGTGGAAGTGTTATCGTCAGTGAATTCACGTTTATAAATTATTTTAATAATGCTATACATTAGCATCTAATATGATAACCCCCTTCCCTCCTTATTTAAAATACTTTTAAATTTAAAAAACACAGCCCCAGTGGTCGAGCTGGTTAAGACGCCCGCACGGATTGAGGGAGATCCCAGGTTCGAATCCTGGCTGGGGTAATATTTTTTGCAATAAGTATTTTAAATAAGGGGGGAAGGGGGTTATCATATTAGATGCGAAAGTTTGGACAGTTATTTTCGACGCGTATTTGTACGCATGAAATATGTAAACACGCGTTATAAATATTATCGGCAAGATAAAAGGGGGGGGAGCGTATTTATTATAAAATTCAATTCGTAAAATAAAACAATGAAGCGAGCGATTGTCCAACTGGAGCAAAATATTCATGAAGCTCCATCGCGAACGTTTGCATAAATTACATTCGCGCGCGCGCGCGAATGAAAGCTTGTTAGCGAATCACTCACGCGTCATCGATCATAAACACACGATTAATCGTCGATTAACGAGCAGCTCGAGCAAGAAGCGAAACACGTTTCCGTACATACCCGATGCGCGCAGCGCACAAAAACCCGATCCAACGGAGACTTGGAGTCCTGGGCCTTCGAGGTTCTCTCCTTGCACCACGCTTGACCCATTTTTTTATCGGGCGTCTCCTTTTCTAGTCAAGTCGCTCGTACCGGCGGCCAGAGTGGTCCCTCTCATCGATAAGGCCAGATAACGTGGACCATCTTCGGGTCCGTTCCTCGCGACCTGCCGCAACCGGCGTGTTTCCTGCGTTCGCCCGTGCGATCGGATCTCGCCTGAATCCTCGGACGTGAAAGAGAGGTCGGCGTGGCCCCTCGAGGGAAATGAAAAGAAGGCGCTGAGATCGTGCCGTCGTCGTCAACCCGATGCGTGACCTCCTCTCGCCGCTCTGGAAGACAGCGAGATATCCCGTTGATCTATTCCATTCTAATCCGCTCGTTTCGCAAGATAATCCGCCCCGTAATTTTATAATCACACGACCGTTTCGCGAGGTGGATCGTCGTTTAGGTACTTAAATTTAGCCGGCAGATATCGAGGGCACATGTTAATCCCTTTGTGCAGTTTCGAGAAGACCCGGGGGTGCAATGAAGATCGTAAAAGTGCAAATTCAGTCGCCGTGCGACCTCATACAATATTTCCGCAACGATTGGTTAATCGTGAAAAAGATTTATTCCGTAAAAGTGCAATACATTTGGCCGCCGTCACAATTTCACTCGATATTTCCACAACAGTTTGTTAATAGAGGAAAGTCCCCTGTTGTGAGATAGTTTCTAATATGAGAGAACGGTTTGCAACGTCCACATTCAATCACAAATCTTTTTTGCGACGATTACACGATCTAACAATGAATTGTCCACTAAAGAGAAATTCGCCCGCTCCGCTCTTGGAAAAGTATATATCTTAGAAAACCTTAAACACCTTACTTTAGAAAAATAAGAAACGTGAAAAGTAAATTTGGACACTTTCAACTTTCATTTAAGGTAAACTTAAAACTTACTTCAAGAATCTAAAAGAAACTTTAAGAATTGTGAAAAGTACGTGATATAATTTATAATCGCGTGCGGTTTTCTCCTTACGAGAAAGTGGTATGCCGCGTGGCCCTCTAGCGGCGACTTCGACAGGCTTGGCTATCTAAAAATTATTATACTTTAAATGTCCAAAATACTCTAAAATTTCTTAAGTAAACTTTTAACTTCTTCAAGTAAACTCTTAGATTTGAAAGATTACTTAAAAAATTTTTAATTTCACTTGAAGTAAATCTTCCCAAGGGCGAAGGCAATAAATTCATGGTGAAACCAACAGACGACGCCTATTAATTTAGCGGAAACCCCGCCACCTCATATTAGGACTCTATCTCACAATAGGGAGCTTTTCTCTGTTAATTAAATCGTGAAAAAAATATATTCGCGGTTTTAGCAGACGTTTATTACATGTATTTGGCGAAACTGAACGCGGGACCATTTACTTGTGTAATTAAAAAGAAAAGATTAAATGGGAATACGCGAGACCGTCCATTTTTAAAAATCGGATGCGTAGATTCGCGCGAGGAACGCGACGGGATATTCGCATAATGTTGCTCTTCCCATGAATGGACGTGCGATTTGCGTCGGCATTGAGGCTGCGACACGGTCACACGGGGGACCGCCTTCTTACGATGCGTCATGTGCGCTCGAAACTCGCGTGTACGCACGAGTACCCGCGCCCATACTCGCGCTCGCGCGTCCCCGCGCGCTAAAGTGCCGCACGGAAACGACGAAAAAGAGGGAAACGGTTCATTGCACTTTCTAAACTGCAGTCGATCGCGCGCGTTACACGCACACCTGTTCGAGCAATCGCGACCGGGCGCGCGCGCGCGTTGGATCGCGCGAGAGATGCGTAGAACGGGAGAGTCCCCGACTCAAAGTCTCAATAACGGTCCGCGTCCTGATGCGAGATAAAAGCCGAAGAATGTCGGTTAAGTCTTCCGAAGTCGTTCTCGCTGACCGCCTCTCGAGTATCCGAGCCGCGCTCGGTTCTCTGCGCGCGCGCGCTAACGTACCTATTCTTCTCGGAGGTGCGTTTACTCAAGCGCACGTCTCTTTGAGGAATCTATCTCGGTCGTCAGCGGCTGCGATGGATCACCTGCGAACACGCGCACGAACACGAGCGACGGATTAATGGTGACGGAGTGCAGCGCAGGACTGCGACCGCGGCCGCGGCTGCGGCTGCTACGGCAACTGGTACCACCGCCAAGTCAACTGGTACCACCACCGGTCAACTGGTACCGGTCGGTCAGACTCGCGGCACTCGCGCGTAACACCGGTGCTCCGGACGTACCGCGCGAATTCTGGACGGTCGGAGCGGCCGCGAGCGAAGAGGCGGCACGCAAGACTCGAAACGCCGCGGTCTCGGCACGAACGCTTTCTAACCGTAGCCTCCGCTCTCGCAACGGGCCCCGGCCCCCGGCCCGGCCATGGCCCGTCGCTCCCGCGAGGAGATCGGCGGAGGTTCTTCCTCCTCTACCTTCACCGCGCCTTCCTTGTCCTTCGCTGCGGCGCGGCGGCTGCGGGTCCACACACCTCTCGGTCTCTCATCCGCCTCGCCTCTTCGGCGCCCGCGTACCCGACAGATTCCCTGTCAAGAATCCGACTCCCCCCCCCTCCCTTTGTCCCTCATTCAGTCTCTGTCGCTCTCTCGCTCTCCCATGAATTCTTTCTTTCGTGCGCGCCCAGGTGCACCCAGAATTCCATGGTTTCCTTTTCCTCTCCTTGTTCCTCTGTCTCGCGATACCCTCTCGACAATCGGTACCCTCTCCTCCCCCGCGCGGCTGTTCTTTATCCCGCTCCGGGACATTGTGTTTCCCTCGTCGTCGTTCCGCACTCACCGTCTCGCCATTCGAGAGCACATTCTCGGGAAACTTGACACGCACACTTGATACGTTGAAAATTATGTACCCTTACCGCACGTAAGTTTACATATTTTATATGTTAATTAATTCTATGAATTTCTCGCGAGAATCTATCGCGTATTATTCAACAGGTTGCTTTAATCGGTAGAAATCGCGCGAGAGCGAAGAAAAGTTTGTTCTCGCGCTTGACACGTGACATATTAATTACGTGCTGTGAGAGAGATTTGGGAGAAACATAATTGAATTTTATCGAATTTATTGTGGAACAAGTCAACCGAGATTGTTGAACATTTTTTTCACGCTCGTATGGTATAAAACATACAATCTATGGTGTATACTATTGCCTGAATACACATGGTGTGTTCTGACCGTGTATCTATAGTATACACTATTGCCTGCAATGAATACATACAGGAGCCACCTCCGTGCACAATTGCGTTTATGGTTCTCACAGGTACTTTCGATTACGCCGAGCTTATTTAAGAAAAATATACCACACTATTTACATATCAATCTACGTTTTTTAGTACTATATACGTATTGTAAAAATTTTTTTTCCGTCGACATTCCACGCATATGAAATATTTGAACAGTTATTATTTCTGATAATATAGATCTATTTATGTATCAGTATGTGATGTAAAGTAACGACTTAGTATTACGCATATTTTTCACTAATATATTTCGTAACAAATGTTTAAAAAATGACTGGTAATATTCTTCGGGCGAGTTTCACAAACGTCGGTTAACTGCTAACCGAAGGTCAATTGACTCTCCGTCTGTTATTAGATAATATGATACAAAAAGATAGGGAATTGACTGAACTCTGGTTAACAGTTAACCGACGTTTGTGAAACTGGCCCTTAGTCAGCTTGTGCACTTAGACACTTTCCACTTAAAATAATTTAAAAACTAAAATTTGAACTCTCCCTCTGTCGCTCTTTCTCGCTCTCTCTTGCGAATCCTTTCTTTCGTGCGCGCCCAGGTGCATCCAGAATTCCACGGTTACCTTTTCCTCCTCTTGTTCCTCTGTCTCGCGATACCCTCTCGACAATCGGTATCCTCTCCTCCCCCGCGCGACGGTTCTTTATCCCGCTCCAGAACATTGTGTTTCCCTCGTCGTCGTTCCGCACTCACCGTCTTACCATTTGAGAACGCATTCTCGGGAAACTTATCACGCTCACTTGATACGTTGAAAATTATTTACTCTTACCGCACATAATTTGTACACGTTCCGTATGTTAATCAATTCTATAAGTTTCTCGCGAGAATCTATTGCGTATTATTCAACAGGTTGCTTTAATCCGTAAAAATCACGCGAGAGCGAAGAGAATTGTGTTCTCGCTCTTGAGACGGGGCTCGTTAATTATGTGCTGTGAGAGATATGGAAAAAGTATAAGTGAATTTTATCGAATTTATAATAATAAATTCGATAATAACACAGGTCCACCGAGGTTGTTGAAAATCTTTCTCGCGCTTGTAAGCGTATGGCATAAAATACACAGTCTATGTGTATTTTATTGCCTGAGAATACCCAGAAGCCATCTCCGTACACACGTACGTATATGGTTGCATTCTTGCAGGTGCTTTTGATTACGCCGAGCTTATTTAAGAAAAATATACCACAGTATTTTCATATCGATCTTAAAATTTTATTTCCGTCGACATTCCACGCATACAAAATATTTTAACATTTGTTATTACTAATATAGATCTATTTAAGTATCAGTATGTAATATAAAGTGACGACTCAGTTTTATGCTTTTTTTCACCTACATATTTGTAACAAACGTTTAAAAAATGACTAGTTATATTATTATTCCGCACTTATTGTTAGACTTCCCACTTAAAATAATCTAAAAACTAAAAATGTTATCTCGAAGCTTCTAGTCCCTCGCTATGGTCCTTGTTTGATTACATCGGAAGCGAGAAATGACAAGCTCTGAATTCTTACATGTTATTTTCAAAGAAATACGAAAGCGTCAGATTGTATTGTCACAGAGAACGAGTAAGAAATTGAAAATTAATTCCAAGTGAATATTTTGATGGGGAGAGATTGTTTGTTGGAACGTTTATTATGCCAATGTTCACGTGGCAAGTGCCAACTCTTCCTCCTATTTATTATAAAAATAATTAATAGCTATCTCTTGAGAGTAAAATCATCTTTGTACGATGAAAATTATTCAAAATTTTTGTTAAGCTAAAGAAATTATGCGTTCCTATTACTTTGTGAAGTAATTTAGTTGTAGCTAAACAGATGATAACATATGTTAGATAAAAGGACCATTGTAAATTTTAATTGGAACCACTTTTGCAATTTGCTCATTAACTCTATTTAGATTATCTTTGTCATGAAAAGTTTAAACTGCAAAACATATTAATTGTAATATAAAATATAACACTTAAGTCCTTTGTCAGAAGTTCAGAAGTTCAATCGACTATCAGCATCTTCCATGAAACCACTCATTACCAGCGAAAGCGTATGTGCCAACGTAACATTTAAAGAAATCTGAAATTTATTGTGCTATTTACAAAGTATATGATAAGAATGCATAATTATCGTAACGGACATAAGTAATTATACTTTGTTATTGTACAATGTGTCTTTCAATTTAATGTACTGATTGACGTATCGGATTTTTCTGACATGTATTATAACTGACAATATAAATTTACAATTAAATTTTTAATTAACGCAAAACTTCACATTTTTATAGCCTCTTAATATCATTGTGATTATAAACCTAATTAGTTTTGGCATAAATAACTCCTAATTACGACGCGCTAAATTAGTTGCAGTAATTCGAAACTAGTCCGAATGAACAGTAATGTTTTTTTGTTACATTGACGAAAATGCCGACCACGTTTGGTGCTTTATGTAACGGCGATTTTCCCAGCAGGTGTGTCGTTTATAACGGCGATGCTCGTACTCGAATCAGGGATGCACCGGAAGATATCTCACGTTTCCTTTATTGCGCATCGTCGGTCATTGTCGCCTTCATCGACTCTCCTGTGAACGTAAATGTCCTTATAATTCTCAGGATTATTCTGATGTTAGTTCCTTCACGATCGTGGTCCTCCCCAGATTACCGCAAATTCCATAGTCGATCTACTTCCCTCGACACTGTTTCTTATAATGCTTTCAATATCTCATCGTATATCATCTGATATTATTCCTAAATGCGTTACGTACTAGTTCTCTTGCTACTGTCATCGTCGATAACGTTATGAGATTAAAACATGAATTTAAAATATAGCTTAATTAGATCTCAACGACGTATGATTTTTGTTGCAACATATTCTTTTTATAGATACACATTTTCATTTTCTTCCGCGTACATATTCGATATATTAAAATATATACATATGTATTTTTTCCTTCTGTTTATTATACGACATTAATTTGGGTATAAAGAACAGTAATAATATACGACACATAATTTTGTATGTCCCTCTTTTTAATATGACAACGACGTATAGGATAATTTTACAACAGGATTGCTACAAAATTATTTCATTATCGTTACAATATTTGATATACAATATTGCTATCAAACGTATTGTTATATTAAACTATGACAGAACCAACGACCATCTTATTGTACTACATTCACTATTTACTGCGGTCTACTGCTAATAATTGCTCTTTAATGCTAAATAATTTTTTATTTTTACCTCTATCTCACTTTGCAGTCTCCCGTTTGGCGGTGTATGTACGATCATTCTTTCAACTTATTTTTACAATAGGAACTCGTAACCGTTACTTAAAACGTAACGAATCACTTTCTTCGTTACTTTTCTAATGCTAAAACGGAATCAAACTAAATAAAGAATTAATTTTGTTAATACTTTTTGTTAAAATATTAATAATATTATTGACATTTTATATTTAAAATCGCGAAACAAAAAAAAATGATTTAAGGAGAAAGATTTTATAATACTCAAAATACAATGAAATAGCCCCAGGCAGCACATCGTGCCGGCCAATCGCGAAAAATTGGTCACATAATTCTCCCTTTCTCTCCTCACTATCCCCCCCCCCCCCACCGGTCACTCATTCTTGCTCTCTCTTGCGAATCCTTTCTCCCGTGCGCGCCCAGGTGCATCCAGAATTCCTCGGTTTCCTTTTCCTCCTCTTGTTCCTCTGTCTCGCGATACCCTCTCGACAATCGGTATCCTCTCCTCCCCCGCGCGGCAGTTCTTTATCCCGCTCCGGGCCGTTGTGTTTCCCTCGTCGTCGTTCTGCACTCACCGTCTCGCCATTCGAGAGCGCATTCTCGAGAAACTTGACACGCTCACTTGATACGTTGAAAATTATGTACCCTTGCCGCACGTAAGTTTACATATTTTATATGTTAATTAATTCTATGAATTTCTCGCGAGAATCTATCGCGTATTATTCAACAGGTTGCTTTAATCGGTAGAAATCGCGCGAGAACGAAGAAAAGTTTGTTCTCGCGCTTGACACGTGACATATTAATTACGTGCTGGGAGAGATTTGGAAGAAACATAATTGAATTTTATCGAATTTATTGTGGAACAAGTCAACCGAGATTGTTGAACATTTTTTTCGCGCTCGTATAGCATAAAATCAATTACACAAATTACGTTCCTATTACTTTGTGAAGTAATTTAGTTGTAGCTAAACAGATGATAACATATGTTAGGTAAAAGGGCCAAGTTGAATTTTAATTGGAATTCCAGGTTTAATTGAAACCGCTTTTGCATTTTGCTAATTAACTCTGTTTACATTATCTTTGTCAGGAGAAGTTTATACTTCAAAACATATTAATCGTAATACAAAATATAACACTTAAGTCCTTTGTCAGAAGTTCAGAAGTTCATTCGACTATCAGCATCCTCCATGAAACCATTCATTACCAGCAGAGGCGTATATTTAAACGTAATATTTTAAGAAATCTGAGTTATATGCAAAGTATATGATACAACAGTATGCAAAATTATCGTAACATACACAAGTAATTCAACTTTGTTACAATGTACCTTTTTAATTTAATGTACTGATTGGCGTATCGGTTTTTTCGTGTCACAATGTACCAAGATATCTATAAAGTAAAATGACAATATAAATTTAAAATTAAATGTCCATTGCAAAGTCTCACATTTTTACAGTCTCATAATATCATTGTAATTATAAACCTAATTGATTTTGGCATAAATAACCCCTAATTACCACGCGCTAAATTAGTTGCAATAATCCGAAACTAGTCCGAATGAACGGTAATATTTCTTTTATCACATTGGCGAAAATGCCGACCACGTTCGGTGCTTTATGTAACGGCGATTTTCCAGGTACGTGTGTCGTTTATAACGGCGATGCTCATGCTCGAATCAGGGATGCACCGTAAGATATCTCACGTTTCCTTTATTACGCATCGTCGGTCATTCTCGCCTTCATCGACTCTCCTGTGAACGTAAATGGCCTTATATTTTTCAGAACTACACCAATGTTAGTTCTTTCATGATCACCGCGAATTCCATAGTCGATCTGCTTCCCTCGACATTGTTTCTTGTAACGTTTCCAATATCTCATCGTATTTCATCTGGTATTATTTATAAATGCGGCGCGTACTCATTCTCTTGCTGCTATCATCATCGATAACGTTATGAAATTAAAAGATGAATTTAAAATATAACTTGGAACACAACGACGGTATGTACGCACAATTTTTATAGATACAGGTTTTTATTTTCTTACGCGTACACATTCGATATATAAAAAAATATATGTTTGTTTCTCTTTTTTTTAATACAGCATTAATTCGGAGAGCAGAAGGAACAGTAATAATATTAAGACACTTGGCTCTGTATTTCACTTTTTTTTTATTAATATGACAACAACGTATAGCATAATTTTACATCAGGATTAGTACTAGATTATTATTTTGTTATCGTTACAAAATTTGATGTACAATATTGTTATCAAAAGTACTGTCATATTAAACGAAGGCAAAACCAACAATCACATTATTGTATCACTTTCACTATTTACTATAGTCTATTGCTAATTAAACGATCATTAAGGTTAAAGAAATTTTTAATTATACGGTATCTCACTTGGCTGTCTTCCGTTGAGCTGTGTACGTGCAATTATTCTTTCAAGTTATTTTTACAAGCGTCAATCTTTGTAAAATATATGCGCTTTTCTATATATACTGTGTCACTTTTCTTACATACTTTTTCTTACGTATCTAATTTTTATATATTAGACATTTTGTCTTGTTTATGAAAATCTCGTTAATAAAAGTGAAAAATTACGAAATTTATTATGTATCTTTTTGTTCAATATCGCTGTGCATTAAATACGACCGTTTACAGCCGTTTAAATTCGTTAATTAGTTCACACAACAGTGTACGTCACACGTTATGCTGACTTTATTATCGAGCGATTTTTCTTACGAAGTTCGCGGTATAAACGAAGAGTTTTAACACGATCGTCACTAGGAAATTCGTATGGTACTTTTGAAACGCCTTTTGTCTCGAAGGCATAAAGTTGGTTGATCTCGCGCTTCTTATCGGAGAGATCTTGGTCGGTGCACCAAGGTAGAACAAAGGGCAATCTGCAAAATGGCACAAACATCATTTTACCAATGCAATATAATCTATTTCGTGCGCCTTCCCATAAGCGTCGCGTAAGTCGATTATATCGCGTGCATATTTAATTTTTGCGTTGTTCTTAAGATGCGCGAAATGTAATGTTCATAGAAATTGTTATTCTAACAAAAAGTCATTCGCATATCGATTATTTTTACCTCGGCGGCACGCATCCTATTACTTCATATATTATAGTTTGCTGCCCTGGAAGCTTTTTCGATGGGCGTGGCGCAAAGTATGTTTTATTACTCTCGAATAATTTGCGATCTTTATTTTTCAACATTGCGCGCTGGAAGCTCGTGAGGATTCCTTTGTAACTGAAATCAAAATTTTCTGAATGTTAATCAATCGGTTGCAAAGAATATACAACTGCTCTTAACGATAAAGTTTTTAATCAATTTGAAATAAAGTTTCCCTTAATGGGAAATATATAAGGGGCTGTCATTTGTCAGAATGTATTAATGTTTCACATTAATAATCTTTTGAAAAATAAAAATAATAATCTAAAGAGTTGGTCGATTCTCGAAAATAAAACTGAAGTTGGGCGATGAGAGCAACACGCGGATTTCGTTCTTTTTAAACGCATCTTGGTCCAGCTATTTCCACACTTCAGTTTCACACATCATCCAAAAATGCTTATATCAACTCAGGCTTTTTGATCTATCAGTATTTGAAGAATAACTCACTTCTGGTTACCGGAACATGAGAGAGATTCAAGAAGGTTGCGAAAGATAACTCGAATTCAAACCGTCCGTACAAACATGTATTTGAATTTTTGTTAAACTATTTGCACGTGTAGCGCAAAGAGAAAAATCCGTATTCCTATTGGAAATAATCCCAATCTCATTGGAAATAATCTTCTGTTATAATATTAAATACTCCCGAAGTTTTTACATAGAACAAATGTATTTGCAGTTGATACAAAAGATTTGTGTATTTAATCTCCCTTCAAACTTAATTTAGTCAAGTATAATTGATAGTGATAGATTCTTTGGGTAAAAGTTTGGGTAAAAGAAACAAACAGAAGGAAAGTAATTCGGTCGATGCACTTGTAAAACTTAAAAAATGGAGGAAAGTTCCCTATTATGAAATGGGCTCCTAATGGGATAGCGGGTTTCTGTTAAATTAATAGGCATCAATTGATTCCACCGTGAATTTATCGCCCTTGGAATTTGTTTAGTGGGAAATTCATTGCTGGAACGTGTAATCATTGCGAAAAAATGATTTGTGATTGAATTTGGATGTTGAATACCTGTCATCTCAAATTAGAAACTCATCTTATAATAGAGGACTTCCCCTCTATGGTGAAACCTCTATCAGCCGATGACTTACCTGGTGAATTTACAAGGATCTATATCCAGTGATATATAAACACATATGTAAGGCTCAACTGGTGCGGCTGTGTCGTTTATGGGCGCCATTATGTTATTTGTTATAGGCTCTGTGTCCAAACCGGTAGTCGGATACGTGTTTCCCACGGCGACGAGTGTTTTCAAGGTAAAAAGAAGCAAGAACGTTTCCAGCGAAGTGGCCCACATGATTGTCGGATATCCTCAGTCACGCAAATACAAAAGTTGCAATACTGAAAAATTATATACACACAAATACTTGACCGTGATTCGTCGGAAATGTATTCTAAAATTTTCGTAATTTAAATCGGACAGAAGAATTCGATATCAGTGGATTAAATGCCATCGCTCCGGTTCATTCTAATGAGCGACGTTTCTAGTTCATTTGCATAGTTGTTATACAGTCTGCAATTTGTTCATTACAAAGATGAATGGCTCGTCGATGAGAAACATAAAACCCGTCTGGAATGTTTGCCTGCAGGCAAAATTGTGTGTCACGTAACTCGTTGGGTATAAATACCCAACTGCATTGTAATGGATTATTAATTCCAGCAATTAAATGTTGACGCGTCGCGGCCTGGTTAAATAAAGGCGGCGCCCGCTCGTTCGAATGATATAACACGACAAAGCTGGGGTAGAATAGAAGTCTTAACAACGATAACTGTACGTTATTGCGCGTAAAGTAACGCGCGAGAGCTGAAGACGGAGCAAGTACGTGGAAAACAAGAATAATCCTTTGTCTATCGATCACGAAAACGAGAGTTTTACGAAAGGATAGAGAGAGCTCTTTGCCATTTTCATTATATCCTGTCTATCTTATAAGCGCGCACCTCCCTTTCATTACGCATCCTGTCGTTTTTGTAGCGCAGAATTATTATTGCAAACTGTACGTTGGAAGATAATGCTTCGCGCGATGGTATTAAATGAAGATCGCAATTATGCAGACCGGAAAATTGCTCTGGTCCTCTTCAGGCGCATTAAAGGAGCGCATTAGGATGCCTTAGTTTCGTAATAGCATTAAAGTTATCTTTAAGCAAACGGTGCAATTCACTCGTGCAAATTGTTAGACGATTTCAATGTAACATTCTTATTTCACATAATTATTTGTATTCTTGGAGCTTAAAAGATCACCAATTAAATTCGAGGGATCACCGAAAAATGAGATGTCTTTATCGCGGATATCTTCGTACCATATCAATACTAATAATGGCATAGAGATAAGTTTAATTTCAGGAAGATTATTTCATTTCGTAAAAAGTCGCTTCTTAGCCGCAAAAAAAATAATTTTTAATCACAAATCATTAAAATCAGGAAAGAGGTTTTTAAAAGTAACTAATTACGTTACTGATTATCGAGTCAAAAATGAAACTAGTCATCGTTATATTAGTTATATTAATTTTTTATGAAAATATTAATAAAAGCAATAAAATTTTACATTTAAAGTCGCAAGACAAAGCAAGATTTAAGGAGAAAGGTTTTATAATACTCAAAATACAAACAAATAGCCCAATCGCGAAAAATTGGACTCTCTCTCTATCTCCTCCCCCTCTCTCTCTCACACACACACAAACACAAGATCTTAAAGAACATGCTACCGAGACAATTAAGAAAGAAATTAGAAATAGTGAAGAGAGTGGGTGAAAAACAAACGCGACAGACCAGGGATTGTAATGCAATTCCACCAAACGACGAGTGCACCAAAATGTACATTATACAATAGAGTGAAAATGTATAACGCATTGCTGAAATAACGAGTTGTGAGAAAATATAACCGTTTAAACAAATGTTGAAAGAGTATGTTATAAAGAATGTAAATTAATGTACATTAGAAATAGCTGAGAAAGCTAATAAAGATCAATCAATCAAAAATACATATATCTCTCTCTTCAAACTATTCTTAAACATGACAATGGACTACGAATATTGTTCGAAGATTAAAGATTAAATGCCCATAGGAAAATTATGTTGCAAATAGATACAAAATATGAAAAGTAATAAAATAACAGTGTTAAACGTTTGTTACCATTGCTGATGAAAAAACAAAGTAACTACGTTACTGTTACAGTTACAAAAGACAACAAGGTGTAGCGACGTTACCAGGCCGTTACCAAAAACAGTATTCGTAAAGGCAACGGCGTTACTTCGAATCCTGATAAAAATGCCGATTATCTATACATAAATTATAGGTCTTATCCGTCTGCTTTACATCCACTGAAACTTTCTAAATTTATCGTATCGAAACGCTTCTTTGTAATGATGCGCACCTACGATGCCAATGGATATGGTAATGAGTCAGTATATTGGGGAGAATACCGAAACGTCACGAAAATAAGTCATCGAAGGCAGGGGCAGGGAGTGAGGGAGGAGAGAATGGAGTGATTATCGCGAAACGAAATCAATAGCGGCGTTGTTATCACAGTTTCAGATAGCATGATCGTTCTATTTACTAGCCGACCCGGCGCGGCGCTGCAGATCTGCTTCCGTTCTGCACGGTCCGAGTGTTGTGCTGCGCAGCACCACGTCGCATGCATCATCGTCATCGGTGGATCCTTCAACCGCGATAATCCCGCTAAGATTTTTTATCTCGGGGGACCTCTCGCCAATGTCAGCCACGGTAACCCCCCTTTTCTCTCCCTCCCTCTCTCTCTCTCTTTCCCGCGACTATTTATAGGCAACGTTATGGACCGATCACGCGTCTCGCTTGGCATGCGGCTGATGCAAAAAGCGCGATTGGCGCTAAACGTCGCGCACGTCTCCGCCCGATTGTTCTCCAAT